GATTGGAACTGATATCTTTGCTTACTGAAAAGATAAGTCGTCTCCTATGGTGTTTTAGCTGTTAACCTTTCATCTTGGAGGCTCTTGTAGTTAATTAAGGTGAGCATGCATACTATACTTTCTATATGTAGTGTATTTATTTGATATTAACAAAGAAAAAGATTCAGCATTACTTTAACAATGTATCGTGCACTTAATTTACTTAATACTTAATTAATTATATCTGAACACTTTTTCATAAGATTTCATTTTACAGGAACATTAGAAGAACTCGGGATACCATTAAATTACGAAAGTATAGAGCGTTGGTTGTATTAGTCCTCATTTGCCCCAGAAAGTAGCTGTGCCCATGATTCTAAAGAAAGCATGAAAGTGCCTTTTTTCCGTTGGGATCGAAGCTGTTAAATTTTCATCCCGGATGCTCTTGTAGTTAATTAAGGTGAGCATACATGCTGTATTATATATACGTAGTGTATTTGTTTGATATTAGAAGACAAAAGGGTACGGTGTTACTTTAACAATTTATTTATCTACTTAGTAGGGGGTCTTTTTTTATTTTTATTATATTTGAATACTTTTTTATAATATTTGATTTTACAGGGATGTTAGAAGAACTCCAGATGCCATTAAATTGTGGAGCATTGATTGTGTTGGTTCTCATTGACTCCAAAAAGTGACTATTCCTATGGTCATAAAGAAAGCATGAAAGTGCCTTTCCATTGGGAACGGAGGCAATGTGCTGAAGAAGAAGTGTGTTGCTGAAGGAGGGATTTATGACTAAACTGGTATGTAACAGTATCAATTGAAATTAGTAAATGAGGGCCCCAGGAATTTTATTTCTTGGACATTTGTAACTTGCTTCAATAGACAACTTTTCAGGAATGGGAAAAACAGAATTATTGTGGAACTAACGTTTCCATCAATGTGAAAATTAACTTCTAACTTTACCATTACATCGCCACATGAAAATATTACTGATTTACTTTCTTTAAAAGTGGTAATTAATTACTTTTTCTTGCCTGTTTCTATATAGATTGTCCCACAAATGACGAGGGATTGCAGTTAATTTTGATGCTACTGAAGCAACCGATACTTTTGATGTCTTCATCTTGCAACATTATGCAGTTAATTTTTGCCGTTACAACAAGAGACTGTTGGAAATTAATTAATTTGGAAACGACTGGAACAACAAATTGTTTGCAGTGGTATCCCTCCTAGATTTGGTTTGCTCATCACACTGGTAGACTATAGAACGCCACTTTCTACAATTAATTAAGGTGAGAATACATGACTTCATTAACATTAATTGCTCTTTATTTATCTGTTACGAAATTTCTGTTAACAATTATCTATTGTAAACAGTATAAATTGAGGTTATTGCCCATTAAATCTCTGAATGTTTTTATTTTCCACAGAGGAAAATGACATTTATCATTGATCTACGGAGTTTCTTTTTAACCTTTTTCTGTTGTATGCATCGTAAATTGACGTCGTGATATTTGACACTTATCTATGGTTGCAATGTAAAATGCGGTGGAAGATACGCTTGTTATTTTATAAATCAACTAGTTTTACTTGCTTTTTGATGCATTTTTATTTGTGTTTTGTAATTGTAAGTGTAATTAATATGTTTTTTGTCCATTTCTGCAGGTTATACAATAAATGAGAGAATTAATGTGCAGTTTGGTTATACGGCCTGTATCTACAAGGGTGTGGTCTTTCCTGGATTATATTCTTGATTTGCCGTTTCGTTATCGCCTTGTAACATCATGCAATTAATTTTTTCCCTAACAACGGGAGGCATTTGGAAATTAATTGATTTGGAAGCGTCTGGAACAACAAATTGTTTGCAGTGGTATCCGTCCTAGATTTGATTGGTTTGCTCATCACACTGGCTCGAACAAAAGCTTTAAGTTTCGGATAAATTTTACAAGCTTGAATATAAATACACATATTTAAATTTTATGTTATATTCATCGGTTTAAAGTATTTTTAAATCTCTACATTAAGTTTAATGAACCAAATATATAAAAAGGAAATTATGATTACACTGTTTAACTATAATTTAGCCACTACTTAACAGTTACATCATTACATCTTTGGGTCATTGTGACATGGCGGAATGGTGGTATGGTGGCTTCCGATTGGTCAGTTCAGTGAGTTCGTAATGTACGGATTGTGAGTTCGTGATTATGAATATGCTAGTATACGTTTTATCCTATTATTATATTAGACTAGAGCATTTTTCTATACGGTCAATTTATTTCTTAGATTTATTTTGCGAACTTAATTTCCAAAATGTGTCGTTTAATAATATTTGTTAATGTAACTTTGGAATGACTTAAGTGCGGTTTATTGTGTCAGTTAAGTTTTGTTAAAAAATATCTGTTAAGGGTAATATTCTGTTTTGCTTGCTTTGAATTAGTTAATAATTTTACTATAAAATTTTTACAATGATACCTTTTTGATATTGAAAGAAAGATAAACAAACTAGACATGCCTCTAAATCGGTAATTTATTTCCTGAAATCCTTAGTTTGAAGATTATTCTCAGATGAAATAATTGGAACAAAAGGTGAAGCTCTAGAATTGTTAATTTTCCTTTTTTTTCGTTTTGGTAAATTTTTTATTCAGAAAAGAAATTTTACTAGCTATTTAAAATCTAGCATCATGGAAAAAAGAACTCATTCTATATGTCCTTCAGTAATAAAGGAAGGAGCTTGTGTTTAACTGGTCACTATTTAAATCTGTATGGACAATTTCCTTTAGTGGTTAGTATTTAAATGCAAGTAATAAAATAAGTAACATAAACTAATCTCACTAGTAAGTAGTTAACATAATGACCAATTAATGTATGTATTGACTATTTAATACCCTGTGGGATGGATATTTCATTTCATACTTATAATCAATACTTACTCTTACTCTAGTCCAATGAATTTAAAGAATGTTTAA